TCAGCACTCCCATAACCCCTGTGGGGTGGGATACTCCTGTCCCCTCATCACTCCCATAACCCCTGTGGGGTGGGATGTTCCTGTCCCCTCATCATTCCCATAACCCCTGTGGGGTGGGATGTTCCTGTCCCCTCATCACTCCCATGGCCCCCTGTGGGGTGGGATGTTCCTGTCCCCTCATCACTCCCATAACCCCTGTGGGGTGGGATGCTCCTGCTCTGTCCCGGGAGCTGGCACAGCCCTGGGGTGGCACTGGGGCTCCCTGTGCCCCTCTGTGTGTCCCCAGTCACTGTGGCTGAGTGGAACAAGGGGAGGGGACGAGTCAGGACCTCCGGAGCAGCAGCCGGAGCCTGGGTGAGATCTGATAGCTCTGGGTGTGATCTGATGGCACTGGGTGGAATCTGGTGGCACTGGGTGGGATCTGATGGTGCTGGGTGGGATCTGATGGTGCTGGGTGGGATCTGATGGCAGTGAGTGGGATCTGGGGGCACTGGGTGGGATCTGAGGGCACTGGGTGGAATCTGGTGGCACTGGGTAGGATCTAGGGGCACTGGGTGTGATCTGGTGGCACTGGGTGGGATCTGGTGGCCTTGGGTGGGATCTGATGGTGCTGGGTGAAATCTGGTGGCACTGGGTGGAATCTAGGAGCACTGGGTGTGATCTGGTGGCACTGGGTAGGATCTAGGGGCACTGGGTGGGATGTGATGGTGTTGGGTGGGATCTGATGGTTCTGGGTGAGATCTGATGGTGCTGGGTGGGATCTGTTGGCCCTGGGTGGGACCTGATGGCCCCGGGTGCGAGCGCAGACCCAGTTCCCGTTCCCGGCGCTCACCCTGCACGCGCAGGTACAGCGCTGTCTCGGCGGTGCCGAGCGCGTTGCTGGCCGAGCACCGGTAGGTCCCGTCGTCCGCCGGCGTCACCTCCCGGATCTCCACGCGCAGGGAGTTGGGGGCGGCCCTGACGCGCACCCGGGGGCCGCTCCCCCCCGAGCCCGTGGCCACCGGGTCCGGCCCCCGCAGCAGCGCCAGCCGGGCCGGAGGGTTGCTGCCCACCGAGCACTCCAGCACGGCCAGGCGGCCCCGCTCCGCCTCCAGGAACGCCCGGAGCTGCGGGGCCCGGGGGGGGTCTGCGGGGGGAACGGGCTGAGCCGGGACCCCCCCGGGACAGAGAGACCCGACAGCAGCCACTGCCTCGGGAAGGGAGGGGAGGGGAGGGAAGGGGAGGTTTGGGAAGGGAAGGTTTGGGAAGGTTTGGGAAGGTTTGGGAAGGTTTGGGAAGGTTTGGGAAGGTTTGGGAAGGTTTGGGAAGGGAAGGTTTGGGAAGGTTTGGGAAGGTTTGGGAAGGTTTGGGAAGGTTTGGGAAGGTTTGGGAAGGGAAGAGAAGGTTTGGGAAGGGAAGGGAAAGTTTGAGAAGGGAAGGTTTGAGAAGGGAAGAAAAGGTTTGGGAAGGGAAGGTTTGGGAAGGGAAGGTTTGGGAAGGTTTGGGAAGGGAAAAGGGGAAAAGGGGAAAAGACAGAGAAGGGAAAGAGGAAGGAGAAAGGGGAAAGGGAGAGATGGGAAAGGGTAAAAGCTAAAGGGGAAAGGAAAAGATAAAGGGGAAAGGGAGAGGTAAAGGGGAAAGGGGAAAAAGGGATCCCACCCCACACCCCCGGTGAGGACACTCCTGCTCTATGGGATGCACAGTCACTGCACACAGTGGCCCAGAGGGACAGAGGCCCACGGGAGGAATCCCAGGACACAGATCAGTGTCCAGAGACCCCAAAACGTGCCCACATGGGCTCTGCCCAGGGCCTGGGCACTGCCACACGTGTGAGCCGAGCTGGGCACTCCTTCCCGGACACAAGTCCATTCAGGGGATCATGGAATGGCTTGGGTTGGGAGGGCCCCTAAATCCCACCCTGTGCCACCCCCTGCCATGGGCGGGGACACCTCCCACTGTCCCAGGGACACCTCCCACTGTCCCAGGGACACCTCCCACTGTCCCAGGCTGCTCCAGCTCCAACTCAACCCGGCCTGGGGCTCTCCCAGGGACGGGGCAGCCCCAGCTCCCCTGGGCACCCTGATCTACAGGTCGTGCCATGTCCAGGGCCCCCCCACCCATCCCCGCCAGGCCGGGGGTGCCGGGGGGTCCCGTACGTACACAGCACATCCAGGAGCACGGCCGGGGAGCTCCTGGTGCCGCTGCCAGTGCTGGCCTGGCACCGGTACAGCCCCGAGTGGGCGCTGGCCACGCGCCCCAGCACCAGCGTGCTGCCCTCGGCCACCCACTGCCCGTTGTGGTACCAGGTGACGTTGGGCACGGCCGGGGAGTCGCTGCTCAGGTGGCAGGTGAGGTTGGCACTGTCGCCCTCCGGCACGTGGGACGAGGGGGACACGGTGACGGTGGCAGCTGGGGGGGAAACGGCGCCTGGCATCAGCGTTGGGGTGAACAACCCCCCCAGAGCCAGCCCAGGGGTGTGTCACCACGGGGGTTATGGCACCGAGGGGGTTATGGGGGTTATGTCACCGAGGGACATTGTGGCTACTCCAGAGGGCAAATTCCAGCTGCTCCTGCAGTGCCATGACAGGGACAGCTCTGAGCTGGCAGTGGGGTGCCACCAGCCCAGGGATGGGGTACTTGCAGGAGGGGGCCCGTGGGAACTCCCTCGGCCACGTTTTGTTCAGTGTCCCCGTCACACACAGGCAGGGAACCCCCACCAGGGGCTGGAACAATCCCCACCAGGGGCTGGAACAATCCCCACCAGGGGCTGGAACAATCCCCACCAGAGGCTGGAACAATCCCCACCAGGGGCTGGAACAATCCCCACCAGAGGCTGGAACAATCCCCACCAGGATGGAACCATTGCTGTGGCCACGGGAGCCTCCAAACCCACCAGGAGGGGCTGACAGCCCCCTCTTTAAACCCACTCACCCTCCACCCCTGCCCCAAAGGTCCCGTTCATGACAGTTTTTGGAGGCAGAAGCCGTTGGACCCCTGAATTTCACGGGCACGCGGCTCATTTCTGCTCCTCCCGTCCTTCTGCCGCCACCCCCCGGGCTCGTCCCCTTCCCTGGCATTCCCTTCCCGGGCTCCCCTCTCCCAGGGCGTTCCCAGATGCCGTGGGGATGTGTGGCCTCCACCGCCCTCCCTCCCGTGCCCGGTCCCTCGTCCCCACTCACTGTCAGCCCTGAACTCCAGCGCGGCGCTGGCGCTGCCCCGCGCGTTCCCAGCCTGGCACACGTAGGTGCCCTCGTCCTCCAGCACCACGTCCTGGATCTCCACCCTCAGGCTGTTGTAGGAGGGGGTCACACGGACGCGGGGGGCCGGGGGGCAGCCCCCGGTGCAGGCCAGCAGCGCGTCCCCCCTGCGCAGGGTCAGGTTGGACTCGGGGTCGCTCTGCACGGAGCACTGGAGGATCCCCCGGCGCCCGCCCCGGCTCTGCAGGAACGAGCTCAGCACCGGCGGCCTCGGGGGGTCTGCGGGGGGAAAGCACCGCCGGGGAGAATATTCTGGATCCACGGGGTCGGGAGAACCCCCAGAACCCGAGGGGTTGCTGCTTCCCCGGTGCCACGTGAGCTGCTCCCGGGCATCCAGGCTGGACGGGGTTGGAGCAGCCTGGGGTGGCCGAAGGGGTCCCTGCCCAGGACACGGGGTGGGACTGGGGGGGATCTGAGATCCCTTCCCACCCAGAACATTCATGGTTCCGCGATCGTTTACTGTTCTTAAAACACTAATTGCTATTAAAACTCTCTGAATGTCGGGAATTCGGGATGTCCCCAGACTTCCCCTCCCCCAGATTCAGAGGTTTGCCCGCCAGAGGGAATTTTCCATCCTCTCCACGTTCCTGCCCGAGGGCTCCTCGGCTGCGTTCGGTGGTGAGGGGGGAACCCCCGGGGCGGGAGCAGCGGAGGACCCCCCAGCCCAGCCCCAGGAGCCCCTGGTAGCCCCAGGACCCCCCAGCTCAGCCCCAGGACCCCCTCACAGCCCCAGGACCCCCCAGCCCAGCCCCAGGACCCCCTCACAGCCCCAGGAACCCCCAGTCCAGCCCCAGGACCCCCTGGCAGCCCTGGGACCCCCTGGCAGCCCCGGGACCCCCCACCCAGCCCCAGGACCCCTGGTAGCCCCAGGACACCCCAGTCCAGCCCCAGGACCCCCTGGCAGCCCCAGGACCCCCTGGTAGCCCCAGGACACCCCAGTCCAGCCCCAGGACCCTCTGGCAGCCCCAGGACCCCCCAGTCCAGCCCCAGGACCCCCTGGCAGCCCCAGGACCCCCCAGCCCAGCCCCAGGCCCCCCCGGCAGCCCCGGGCGCAGCACTCACAGAGCACTCGGAGCGGGACGGCCCCCGACGCGCCGCTGTCGCTGCCGTTGCTGCCCCGCACCCGGCACTGGAAGGCGCCCGCGTCGTCCCCGCGCACGGAGGGGAAGCTCAGGGTCGGGGCCGGGCCCTCCCGCAGCCTCTGCCCGTTCCGGTACCACGTGTAGAGGGGCTCCCCCGCCGCCTCCCCCGTCCCCACGCAGGTCAGGGTGACCGCGGTCCCCTCCGGCACCTCCGCCGAGGGCTGGATCAGGAGCTCTGCGCCTGCAGGAGGGGAGGGAGAGGGATGGGAGGGAGGGAGGGAGGGAGGAGGGAAATCCCTGCTGCAGACCTTCACCTTTCCCATGGCTCCATCCAGCTAAACCCCACCGCCCTCAGCTTCCCTCAGCCCCCTCTCGCTCCCGAGCCCGTGGGATCTGGGGCCCTTCACTGGGTGGTGTTCCCTGGGGACACTGGACATCACCCCAGAGCTCTGCCAGGCAAGGGGGGCCTTTCCCGACCCTGCCCAACTCTCTCCAAGTGCCAGGTTCATCCAGGGCATCCCGGTTCATCCCGAGCCGCTCCTGGGACAGCCCCGGTGCCCTCAGCCCTCTGGCAGGTGACAGGTTGGGCCGGTGGCATCTTGGCCACTTCTAACGGAGCCCAGCTCCCCTCAGGGACACCCAAACCCGGGTTGGTTTCTCTGGGATTGGACCTTGAGGTCTATTTTGGGGTTTTCTGGCATCCTGAGGGACGTTCCTCTTGGACATGGTTTTGGGGGGCTTTTCCCTCCCTCTGCTGCCTCTGTCACGCCAAACCATCCACACTGGGGGTTCAGGGGACAGAGCGGGGCCCCCCCGTGTGTCCAGACCCCCCCAACACCTCCGAGGGCTGGGGGGGGGGAGCGACGGAGCAGAAAAGTTCGGACAAAGTTGCTCCTGATTTTGAGGTGCTTTGGAAAACAACCCCCGGGAGCATCTCGAGCTCCACCGGCTGCTCCAGCCCTCCGAGGAGGGGAAGGGCTGCGGGGAGGGCACTGCCACCACACGGACCCCAAGGCACCGATGTCCCCCCGTGCCAGGGGGTGCCCCCAGCCCCGAGGAGCAGCCGCGGGGGTTCATCCCCGCCCAGAGCTCAACCCCACCGCCGTCCCTCACCGCGGGTGAGCAGGTCCTTGGCGGCGCTGGCGCTGCCGTGGGCGTTGGTGGCGGTGCAGCGGTACTTCCCGCTGTCCCGGGGCCCCGCAGCCCGGATTTCCAGCCGCAGGGCGTTGCGGGAGGCGGCCACCCCGAACCTCTGGGGCGGGGCCACCTGTGGCCCGCTGGTGGCCAGCACGGTGCCGTCGCGGTCGATGGCCAGGGTGGCCGGAGGGTGACTGTCCACGGCACAGCGGACGATGACCAGCCGGCCCCCCTGGGTCTCCTGGAAGAGCGTCAGGGTGGGGGTCCGGGGGGGATCTGCGGGACGGGAGAGGGGGTTGAGCTCGGGGGGTCCCCGTGGGGCGGCCACACGTGGAATCCCAAACTGCTTCGGGTTGGGAGGGACCTTAAACCCCAGCCAGTGCCACCCCCTGCCACGGGCAGGGCCACCTTCCCCCGGCCCAGGCTGCCCCAAACCCCGTCCAACGCGGCCTTGGACACCTCCGGGGGTGGGACACGTCCCCTCCCCACCCCCAGCTGCTCCCCCCCTGCGTCACCGGGTTATTTTTACCCCAGACCTGGCAAAGCCAAGCCCGGGGCTGTTTTGTTTTCCCCCTGACTTGCAAAACCTCCTGAGCTGTTCTTATCCCCCCCCTCCTCCGTCAGTAACTCCCCCCAGCTTACGGTTGGAACAGATTAGCGGGAGATGCTCCAAACAGCCCCTTCCCGCGCGGCTCAGGGCCGGGAATTACGGGATTTACCCCAGACTCGGTCGGGGGGGGGGTTGAACCCCCCTCCCAAACCCCTTCCCACGCGGCTCACGGCCGGGAATTGTGGGATTTACCCCAAACTCAGTCGGGGGGGCTGAACCCCCCTCCCAAACCCCTTCCCGCGCGGCTCACGGCCGGGAATCGCGGGATTTACCCCAAACTCAGTCGGGGGGGCTGAACTCCCCTCCCAAACCCCTTCCCGCGCGGCTCAGGGCCGGGAATCGCGGGATTTACGGCGGATTCGAGCGGGAGGGCTGAACGCCCCTCCCAGCTGCCCCCGGGGCACTTGGGAAGAGGCTTCGCCGAGGGTTTGGGGGTTTGCTGAGCCCCTGGGCCGGGCGGCCCCGGCAGGGGCGGGGGGCACTCACAGGTCACGCTGAGGCTGAGCGGCTGGGCCGTGTCGCTGCCCTGCCCGTTTGCCACCTTGCACGAGTAGTAGCCGGCGTCGCCCGCGGCCACCGCGGGGAAGAGGAGGGTGTGGGCAGTGCCCTCCTGCAGCCACGCGCCGTTCCTGTACCACGTGTAGTTGAGGTCCTGCCCCTCCCGGCCCGGCACGTCGCAGGACAGGGTGGTGGCCGTCCCCTCCCGCACCTCGGCCGCGGGGCTCGCCGAGACCTCTGCGGCTGAGGGGGGTGGGAGCACGGTCAGCACGGCCCGGGGGGCAGGAGAGCGGCACCCCCGCCCCCAACCCCCACATCCCAGAGCCCCTCTGCCCCCCCCCCCCAGGGGTGACGACAGAGGTGGGAGGCGTTTGGGTTTGTCCCCTGTCGCCAGCACCTTCCCAGCTGGGCAGGGGGGCACCTTCTGCTTTTAGTGCAAAGTGCCGGGGACAAAACTCCTGGGGGGGACAGTGGGGTCCTGCAGCCCTCGGGGTCTGCACGGGGGGTTGGGGGGAGCAGAATGACCCCCCCTGCTCCCATCCGGGGGGAGATGCTCCCTGTGGGACTCCAACAGGGACAGGCAGGGCTGGGGCTTGTCTTTGCTGCAGGATCTGGTGGAGGACCCTCCTCCCCTGGGAGGGTGGGGAGGCCCTGGCACAGGTTGCCCAGAGAAGCTGTGGCTGCCCCTGGATCCCTGGAAGTGTCCAAGGCCAGGTTGGACAGGGCTTGGGGCAACCTGGGCTAGGGGAAGGTGTCCCTGCCCATGGCAGGGGGTGGCACTGGGGGATCTTTAGGGTCTCTTTCCACCCAAACCAGACCACCCTGGCTCTGGATCCCCACAAGCTCTGCCAACCCCCTTCCCAGTGCTGGGCTGGAAATCCCTGCAGGGCCGTGCCTTTGGGATCCCCGAGGTGAGGGGTGCAGGGCTGGCAGGACGGAGCCCTCACACTCCAGGGACCCCCCTGTTCCCCCAGCAGCACTAGCACCTCACTGCCCACCCTGGTCCGGGCTGGCCGGGCACACTCAGCCCCTCTCCCCCCTCCCTGCTGCCCTGGCACTCACAGAACACGTGGAGGGTGGTGGCGGGCGCTGTGCCAGCCCCGAGGGCGTTCAGGGCCTCGCAGTGGTACCGCCCGTGGTCCTCCCGCCGCACCCCCCGCAGGGTCAGCACCCTCTCGCTGCCCACGGCGGCCCCGTCCTTGTACCAGAGGTACCCCGAGACGGGGGGGTGGCTGCTGCCCACCTCGCAGCTCAGGGCCACCGTGGCACCCACGTGGATGTTCCCCGAGGAGGGACTGACCCGCACCTGGACGTCCTTGGGGGCGTCTGCGGGGGGGACACACGGACACGGCAGGGGGAGGTGAGGGTGGGCAGGACCCACAGGGCGCTGCCACAGCCCCTTTTTGGGGCCTGGTGCAGGGAAAAGGGGGGCTGGAAGGGAAGCAAAGTTGCCACGTGGGCAGCAAAGCGGGGAGGGCACGGCTGTGGGTGCCAGGAGGTGCCACGGAGCTGGGACATCCGTGGGGTGACACGGCCACGGAGAGACGGGGGAGCAGCAGAGGGGGGAGGAGAGGGAGGGGTCTGCTCTGGCTCCTGCAGGGAGTGCGGGGAAGGGGGTGGGTGGTGGGAGGGGGGCCTGGGTGCCGTGGGCGTGGCAGAGGTGCCCCTCGTCCCCACACCGAGCTGCCCTCTGTCCCCACAGTGAGGTGCCCCCTGTCCCCACAGTGAGGTGTCCCCTGTCCCCTCACCGAGGTGTCCCCTGTCCCCTCACCGAGGTGTCCCCTGTCCCCACAGTGAGGTGCCCCCATCCCCGCAGTGAGATGTCCCCTGTCCCCTCACCGAGCTGCCCCCCGTCCCCACACCGAGCTGCCCCACGTACGTCTCACCCGCAGCACGACCTCGGTGCTCGCCTTCCCGGAGCCGTGGGAGACCTCGCAGAGCAGCTTCTTGCCGTGGTCCCTCCAGGAGAAGGAGGTGCTGAGGGTCAGCTGCTGGCCCACCCCACTGGTGTCCAGCTGCAGCCGGCCGGCCAGGGTGGCGGCGCGGGGGTCGTGTCCCTCCCAGCGCAGGACGGTGTCCCCCCCGGGGCAGGCGTAGGGCGTGGAGCACTCCAGGCTGGAGCTCTGCCCCTCCCTCAGGTCCTGGGGGGCGGCGGCGCTCGGGGGCTCCGGCTCCTCTGGGACGGAGAGCGGAGGGTGGGATGTGCCCGCGGGGCGGGCGGGAAGGGAGCGGGGGGGTCCCGGGGGCCGTACCCACCCGACACGCTCAGCACCACGTCCCGCGCCGCCGACCACCGGTCACCGCCCACGATCTCGAAGCGGAACCTGTAGGGCCCCCCGTCCCCCGGGGTGACCCCCCGCAGCAGCAGGGTGCAGTTCCGGGCCGAGGGGTCCCCCAGGAGCTGGGCGCGGCCCCTGAACCGGGCGTCCACCTCCTGGGGGGCGGCCGAGTGGAACACCGGGGTCCGGGGGCCGTCGTAGTCCTTGTACCAGATGGCCACGATGCCCTGGGCGGTCGCCACGTCCTCGGGGTAGCTCAGGGTGCAGGGCACCACCACGCAGGACCCCCCGAGGCCACGCACGGACTGGGGGTAGGAAACCCCCCACGAGCCGAGGGCTGTGCCGGGGAAAGGGGGGTCAGGGGGCTGGGGGGGCCCCGCTCCCCTCTTGGGACCCACCGGGGCCACGGCACCTCTGCTGAGGGGGTGACGGGCAGGGGGGCTCAGGGGGGTGGGAGAGGGGGTGGGGGTGGGATAAACCCCCCCAAGAGGAAATTTTGAGGGGGAGAAGGGGGAGATAATGGAGAAAAGCTGGATCTTCCGGGGGGCTGGCTTTGAACAGCCTAAATAACAAGGAAAAGGGGGAAAATTGCCCCCCCCCCGGCCCCTCACAACTGATTTCCTCAGTCCACTGCCCCCGGCCCCTTGTTCTCTCATGTCCCCTGGCACCCCATCCCTGCCCGGCGGGAGGAGGGGGCACACGGATCCCCCCTGGAACATCTGCTGTGCCGTGTCCCGCGGGAGAGCCGGGAGAAGCCTCGGGAGTTCCCAAAATTCTGCCCGTCCCATGGGCACCGTGCACGGATCCCAGCCCACCCCGGGGGGCACATCCTGCCCATCCCCTGGGCACCGTGCACAGATCCCGCTCCCCCCACCCCGGGGTCACATCCTGCCCATCCCCTGGCACCGTGTACGGCTCCCACCCCCCATCCCAGGG